ACGGGGTCTCACTAAGTCCCTAAATTGCCCAGGGTGGGCTCAAATTTAGATTCTTCTGCCTAAGTCTCCTAGAGTCCTGGGATTACAGGCATGCACCACCACACCTGACTTAGGTTTCCCATTTTTATTTGGAGACAAGTTGTACTCCCCTTTCAGTTCCATTGTCTTCGTAAATGTAGCCTACCTTTTTCACCCTTTATACTTATTATGAAGCTGTATGACTGGTCTATAGTTTGAGTATTTAATTCATAAGCTACGATATAATTTATTTCCCTAATAATGCATTTATTTATTGAATTTACCTTTGCAAACGATTTTGTCTGCTAGTGGTACTTTTTGTATGGCCTTGTATGTATTTATGTTTGTTGGTGAGTGGGTGGGTATTAACAAACTACAGCTGGGGCAGTGTGTACATATTCTGTGTACTTGTTGATTGAGAGATACTCGAGCTTTAGCCATGTGTTCATTCTTAAGATATTGATAACTTCTTCTTGTAACGAAAACATTGTAACACTTGACATTGGGTGAGTCCTATGTCCTCATGCTTAAGTATAGTCTCATGATTTTTATGGTAAAACCTCAATTAAGATATTTCAAGAAATATGTAGGGTTTTCTGGTATCCTCCAGATGAAGCAGAAACTTCCTTATCTTGATATGGATGCCACTACTGCTTTCAAATCTCATTGGTGAAACTTCGCCTCTAGTATATTAATAGATTTTCTAGCTTAAAGGTGCTGAGAATGACAAATCTTTTATTTGTTTACATTTATGGCACTGGGGATTGACCCCAGGGCTTCGTGTGTGCTAGGCCAGGGTGTTGCCACTGAGCTGTGCCCCCAGCCCTAAAAATCTTTTAAACAGAATTCTGTGTCTTGTTTACAATTTTGGGGCTTAGTATTAGTTTCCATCGCATGGGGGCCTGTTGTAGCAGATAAAGGGTAACAGGCCTACACTGTATTATATTATATTTAGGTCATGCTTTCCAAAGAGAAGATGGTGCTGCACAATTGAGTTAATGAAGAGGTCAATAAGTTGTATTGCCTATAGTTAATTGAGGTTTTCCTATTCTTCTATTACAGTATTGAAATGGCTTCCAGGTTTTAACTTGGGACAATATACATGCCAGTCATTTACAGAGAGAAATTTCAATTCTGGGGGCTCTTTGCCATCTTGGCTGCATGGGGACTTTGGGCTCATTCTGTAACATTCTTAAATTTGGCCTAATGGTCTCTAATTATTTTTGTGGCTGAAGCTCTTGCAGTGGATTCATTGAAGGCAAGTTCAGTTAAAGACTCTTCCTCTTCCTTCTTTTGCCATCATTTGCTTCCCCTTTCCCCTCTCTTGTTTTTCTCTCCCTTCTCTTCTCTCATTCACTGTCAGGAAAGACTACCTTTGAAGGGACAATTCTGTACCGAGCTGCACCGGGAAAGACGGAGGGCCACAGACGCTATTACAGTGAGTGACCTTAACAGCAGGAAGCAATTGTAAAGATAAGATCTGGGTACATGTATTGTTTGATGCAGCCACCCTTTCCTGAGCTGCTCATGCTCATGCCAAATGTCTGTGTGAATTTCTGATCCAAGGACATGGACTTATTTGCCTACAATAAGTGTCATCTCCTTGGTGTGTGCTACAAGAGCATTCCCACCACCAGCCCCTGGCGCTTTCTTGTTTGCTTTCTGCCTCTACCATGTATGTGACATGCGTGCATGAACCATGCGTGCAGAGAAGAGAAAAGTAACGTTTGTCATGGCACTTGTATTTGTACCAGTATCTGTGGGCTTATGGGGTGGTGGAAGATGGCTTCCAGCAGAGACATCAACTTCTCATGGTTATTGCTTTTTCGGAGTGGGTCATTGGAAACCAGTAAACCATTTTGCCATTGCGTGGTTCACATAAATAAGACTTTGGCTTGAAAGACCATGCCAGAAATGGTGCTTTGCTTTGCTTATTCAGCTAATCACCACACGGCAGACTTCTTTTGGTAGAACCAATGTGTAGCCTTTTGTGTTATGAAATAAGGCTGCCAAAAGTCAAGGGTAAAGAGATGGATAAATTAATTCAATGATGCGTTTAGAACAGTTCCTGCTAAATAGAAATTTACATGTGTGTTAAATTAAAAACAATTAAGAATGCCTCTGATCAGGGCTGGAAAAGTAGGATACGTTACACAAAAATAGACAGTTACCGAGCTAATTTGAGACTTTTCTTTTAAACTTTTAACGTGGAAGAACATCCACGTTAGTGTGCCTGTACACATGTGCATGCTTACACATGTACACATACATAATGAAAGAGAGGGCTCAGATATGAATCCCAAAACCATGCTTCTCAAATTGCCCGGATGAAGTTTATCTTTGCTTCTGTTACACCATGGACGGACGCTTGGTTCTTCTGCTTACTGTACTACAGCACAGTGTTCTGCCTGCGTTTCACCAAGGGACTTTGACAGTGACTGGACTGGCCTGTGCATTGTTGACCTAGATGCATCTACTGGCCACATGTCTAGAGGTCTCACCAGTGCAAAAGTCATTTTCAGTCATGCACACTTTTTGCATTCATCTCGTCATATATTAGTAAAAAGCCCTTCACAAGCTGACCTTAGTCCACCCTCCACTCCCTGACTTGCACTGCCCGAAAGTGTCCTCTGAGTATGACATGGAAACATTTTACAGGACATAGTGTATGATGGACATCAGTAGAAAAAGACAGCGCCAAACAGATGGAAAATTGAAGCTACTTTTCTTCCCTTCCAAAAGGGAAAGGAACTTGATATTGAGGTTTTTCACTATTGCGTATATTTAGCTATTTATTTTATATCAAAATGACCCAGGCAATCAGAATTTCTGGAAGAAAAATCTGCCGTGTGTTTCCTTCCCAGGTCATGCTTGCGAAGTTGAATGACCGTGCAGTCTTTCTCTGTATAATGTAGAGTATTTCTTACAGTGGTTAATATAACATTATTAAGATAAGCCTGAAGGCAGCAAAACCCTAAACCTGGAACCTCAGTAAATTTAGGATAGCATTGGTTGAAAATATTATGGTTCTAGCTGTGGAAAATGAAAGATGAACCCTTTGAATTGTTTTCTCTAAAGAACTAAAACATATTTCACCTAATCTGTCTGCCCTGCTGCCTTCTGGTGGTGATGGTAGGGGTGGTGGTGGGGCTAGTGGTAGGTGGAGGAGGAGGGAGGGGGATGGAGATAGTTTCTTTCCACTAACCATTTTTTTTAAATTTCACCCTTAAATGGTTCTTTCCAAACCAGAAAAGAATATACGAGCCACTTACTGCATAGAAAGAATCCATACAGCAAAATGAGAACATGTTAAAGGGAAATGACACAACATTTAGACTCCAAAATTAAATCTCCAGCAGAAATAGTTCCAAAAATGATGAACAGATAAACACATGGCTGGCTAGCTAGTCTGGGGGCTTCTCCATGTTTGCACACTGAAATGTCCGTCTGGGAGCTGCAGCTGACCCCCTGATTGTAGGCTGCTCTTCATTGTTCTGTCCTCTGTTTTTGCTCACAAATGCTGTTCTTTAGTTAATGAAAATGTGCCCTAGGGACCTTCCTCCTCCCCCACCTTTTTGGCTTAGAAATATGCTTTTATGGAAAACAGCAATAGCAACAAAGAAAACCATTGTTTTAAGAATTTGATTTTGAAACTTGTTAGCAATTTATAGTGACCTTTGTATATTTTATCTGTTTTCATTTAACAGTTTTTTTTTCCTGCACTGAGGCTTCAGATATAAATGACGTCAGCATTTTGTGGTATTTTATATGAGCAATTATTTGGTGAATCATTCTTACAGACTCAGAGGTCCCTGACCTGTAGGAAATAATGCATGATTGGCTAATAGAGAACAAAATTTGATTATGTACTTTCATCCCAAGAGCATCACTATGATCAGGAGATACGTTGTAAATGGTCAGGAACTGTCCTACACATCCAGAGGCTTCGGGAGACAGTTTAATGGAAGAGTTGAATATTCCATAAAATGTCCTTTGAATCCTGTCCTTTGATGACATAATTGTTGTACTGACCATCAAAGGAAGAATGTATACCTAGAAATTAACTGGACATGCATAGGATCTTCCTTTTAGGAGTATGATTCTAGGCAGAGCCTGGGGATAAAAAAAATCTGGGGAGGTAAGTGTCCATATTTTCTTATTGATAATTATTTTATGCCTCCCAACATATGCCACAAGAGAGTAAAGGAAGAGTGTTCTTTCCCCACCACTTTTTGGAAAAGGGACTCAACTTTGGAAAGATGATGGTGTTAAAGTGGGGAAGAAGAGCCATAAGTGTTGGAAGATTTCGTCTCCGGGAGGGCAGCTTTCATTCCCTCTTTTAAAAAAACAACACCATCATCTTGCTAGCGAAACTGTCTTACTGTCAAGTTTGGTTTAGTGCATTCCTAGAGAAATATTTCTGCATGCATATATTCCTTGTGAAGCCATCCAAGGGGATTTAATTCTTTGACAGTCATAATTGTGAGTGGTTTCTTTAATTGCTAATTTGTTTAAATTGCTTTTAGCTTTACAGTTTCCCTTTAGGAAATGTTACTTTCAGTGCTAATTGCTAATTGACATGAGTCAGAGTGATTGGAGGTACAGTATGTGGTACTGACTGGGTGGGGAGGTGAGGAAGGGGTGGGGAGGGTTGTCATTGCACAGTTTATGGTCAGACAAATTTGGATGGGAACCATGCTCTGGCTGCAAATGGGCGAAGTGTCATATGTACAGAGATCTTTAATTAGATTTTTATGAAAAGTTGTTTTGACTCTCTGCTTAAACTAAAGGCTGGGGTGAGGAGATTAAATAAAACTAGGGGCTAGCCAAATGCAGCATACTGAACGCACCAAATACCAGAGCCCATTGCAAGTTATCTTCTACTCAGTAATACATTCAGAGGTGGCCCCTGGCTAGCTGTGAAGTTTTTCAGGGCTTTGGCTGATTTCTGAGTTCTTTCTCTCCATGTCCCCTCTTGACAGGCTTAAGGGAGACCACAGGCTCCGAGAGTGATGGGGGTGATTCAAGCAGTACCAAGTCTGAAGGTGCCAATGGGACAATGGCAACTGCAGCAATCCAGCCCAAGAAAGTTAAGGGAGTGGGCTTTGGAGATATTTTCAAAGACAAGCCAATCAAACTAAGACCAAGGTCAATTGAAGTAGAAAATGACTTTCTGCCAGTAGAAAAGGTATGTTCAACAGTTTCTGTTTTATTTTAACATTATGTGAAATATCCAAAAGTGCACTGTAGGGTTTGGCGTCAGAGACTTCTGATTCCATTCTTTGGGTTTTCCTATGTCCTCACGTACTTACTAGCTGTGTGCCCTTCCTCCTTTTAGGCTCTCCCTCTGTGTAGGAATGCTTTCCTTGAGAGGTTCATGCCCTAGTGTTGTTGCTTTATTTCTTACCACTCTCTTCTTGTGTTTGTGTGTTTTCTATCACTAAAACAAATTACCTGAGATGTTTCTTTTGAAATTTTTACTTTTATTTGTACAAACTTGGAGTACATAATGATTACATTCCCGGGGGGAGTTGGTACATGTACATAACACATCTAAATACTTTTTCATTCTCTTCCCCTTACTTCCGTCCCTGAGATAGATAATCAGCTTACAAAGACAAAAAGGTTATTTTGGCTTACAGTTTGAGGGAGGTATCAGTCCATTACTGGTTGGCCCTATAGCTTTAGGCTATGATGGTAGTGCATGGAGGAGCAAGACTTGTGTACCTCATGAGCTAGATAGCAAAGAGAGAGAGAGAGAAAAAGAGAAGGTTCCTTACAATCTCCTTCATCAGCATGCTCCTGATGAGCTAAGGACCTCCCACACACCCATACCTCTCAAAGGCTGTACCACTTCCCACTGGTACCAACCTCGGGACCAGGAGTTTAATACATGAGCCTTTAGAAGGCATTCAAGATTCTAGCTGTAGCACCTCTCCAGGGAATATTTCTGAAGATGACTTTTCAGACAACCCAGCAGTTCTCCATCCCCGACCTCAAAAACCCCGCTTATCTGGGCCGACCTAAACACATGACCCTGATGCTTTTTAGACCCCAAGAATCTCACCCAACTCTGTACATGTCTCTAATGCTTTGTGGCTGGTTATGTTAACTGTGGTTCTGCAGTAGAAAAAAAAGAATTGTGCATTTTTTTTTTTTTTAAGAATTAGGTGCCAATGATTTCAGACTGCTGAAAGGAAGTCTCCTGCATGTGTGAATGATGGAGACAGCCTGCATTGTGACTCCCTGGGTTGTTCCCATCAGGAAGCTGGCTGTTTTCTTCTGCCTCTGGTTCTGCATTGGCAAGAGGCAGACATTGTGTTGCTGCTGAGTACGCGGTTGCCATGGCAACATACTCAGAGCCATTGCAGCTTGTGGCTGCTGATGACGTCTGCTGTGGTACACTTCTAAGCATCACAGCCTTGCTTAAGGAGTTGATAAATTCTATGGAATTTTCCAAATTATAATAGGCTACACTCGTGCTGTGCTTCAGGAATTTTTGTAATTTGATTTAGTGCTGAAATTTTTGCTTTGATGTTTGTGCCAGCAGGTTTGAGGGATGGGCTATTGGTAATCTCTCATGCCAATTTATCAGGGGCTTCTAAATGTTTTTCATTTTTCATAAGATGAAAGATTGAAAGTTGCGTCATCTTCTGCAGCTGTAGAACTTCCACCCTTCCCTGGCCTTGCAAATTTGCCCACCCACTATCATCATTTATTAGAAACAGATTCGGAAAAGAGAACTTTTTGGATACTTATTTTATCCCCTTATAGATGAATAGGGGAATGGGGAAAATATCCAGAAATTAAAGACTGTTTTGTTTGAACTTTTGCTTTGTTGAAGCTTCTCTGAGCCAGCATTGTTTCTTTCAGTAGCTCACATAGGATATTTTTCAGGGTCTAAAAATAGTCTAGATTGTATCCTGGCTTGTGACCTCACTTCTGCTTCATGTAGTCACATTCAGATTCCTGTAAGCCTGTACAAAAGAACATATTCGCATCTTTTTTTTTGATTATTCTTTTTTCCATAATTTTATTGAGAAACAAATAGCAGTGAGACAGTTTCAAATCAAATTGGTAGGACAGTTTCAATAATTAACACATTACATACTGTCTTCCTAGTGGTTAATTGCTGTACAAGATGCGGACGTGATATCCTATTTACAAACACCATTAGAACAAATCCCTCTATTCATTAAGAGAATGTAACTATATATCTATCCTAACCACTTTGAATACACAGAAACAAAATGGACATTCATCTGTATCCCCTTTTTTTTGTTAAGTTCCATTATTTGAATATTACAGATGTGTAAACTCAGCAAAATATTCTAAAAGAGTCCAGTAGCCCATAATAGTATTGGGTCTTCCGCTTCACTGGCAATGTCAGAAATTGTTGACCTGAGTCCCCCACAGCTCAACATAACAGCATGGCTTTACTTCTTATATTTCGTTTTTATACTTTTCTGCTGGATGGTTAAGACCAAGGTAAAGCAGAACCTATGCAACAAGAGTTGTAGCTTTTGGGTCTGATAAGATCAGTGAAATCCCCTCAGGATTTATCCTGAGATCCTGTACCTCAGATTGTAGAACCTTTGTCAGTGTCAGCCATGTGGATGAGTCACAGCCATTGCTTGGCCAATGTGCTCTCTGTGAAAGCCTGAATAAACGTTTTCTCTCCAAGTGACTCTCCTTAGGCGCACTCTACATCATCGATCGCTTTCCTCTTTGGCGCTCATAATCTCCTTGATCAGAAAATTTAGGACACTACCGAGTTACATGACGTAATAGTACAAGCTCTCATATGTCCTGAGTCTTAATTGACCTTAGAAGGCTAGGGCCAAAATGTTGGCTTTCCTTGTGGCCCTCCTTTTTCTCTAATTTTGGTCTGCAAACTTAGGTTGTTAACCATCCAGAAGAAAAGCTTATTGTTATTATCAAACGATTTAGGCTATCAAGCTTAACCTCACTATCTCACTGCATTTCAAACATCTTAGGCATAATAAGGAACAGGTATTTTTCATCAAGTATTGATATGTTGAACTTTAAGTCCCTACAGAATATGACAAAAAACATTTAAAAAGTACAATACATTTTTAAAATAGGCATAAAGAATGATATACTTCCTATGTTTACACATAAGTCCAAAAGTCTCACCATATACAACCTTGAAACAGGACAGTCACACAATATTCCTTTTCCTGTCTCTTGCTTTCATTCACCACCCCCTTCTTTGTGAACAACCATCTACCTGAGAGACAGCATAGCAGCAACTGGCATGTCATGACCAGCATCCTGTATTCAGAAGACCAGAATGACAGGCACTCCAAGCATGAAACTATTATTACAGATTACCATCTGCAGTGCAGTTGCTTATTTCACAGGTATCAGTATATACACTTAGTCAGGGTGAGAATCTTTCCAATTAACTGCTAGATTCAAAAATCTTCTGGAGATTCCTAGGATCATTCCCTTGCCCATCTTCTACATATAACTGTATGGCTTGACATTGTCATGTTTACATGTTCGCATCTTGGGAAGAAACAACAGATGAAATTTTTCTCCATTTTATTTAGGTGTTGGAAATGAATATGACTATTGACTCAGTCAGCAAACAGCTTTGTAAGAGGACAGTGTGTATGTGTATAACTTTTAAAGTTGCTATTAATATTTGTTTTAACTGCCAGTAATGAGTTATTCATAACAATATCTGTATCAAATACAATACTCTCATTCGTTTATTTTTGAAGTGAAAGTCCTGATGTTCCCTAGATAGATCTTGAGCTTCTAGTCGCAAGCAGTCCCTCTGTCTCAGTCTCCCACATGCTGGGACTATCGGCCTATGCTCTATGCCCACATACTCCCAAGTTTATGCCTTCACACACCTTTTCCTTGAGCCCCAGAGCTGTTTAGCTTCCTACTTCAGTGTCTCTACCTGGATATCTTAACTCCACATCAGTTTGTCCAAGCTGAAGGTCCTCATCCTGCCCACTTCCACCCACAGTTTTCCCTGTCTCAGTTAAAGGCAGTATCATTACCTTCCCACTGCTCAGGACAAATGCTCTGGGATTGCACCTGACTGGTCTATCAAGATCAGTCAGGAAACCCCATCAGCTTTGCCTCCAAAGTATGCCCAGCATTTACCTAGCCATGTCTCATCACCACCATTGTTCCCTAACAGAGCTTTTTGCTTCTCCCTACTGATGTACACCATGTGCTCGGAACAGTGCATGGCACACAAGCGGGTGCTCATAAGTATTTGTCAAATGATTAATATTAAAAATTGTATTAACGTAGGTCTTTAGAACTTACCGGCACCTATAGAATGAATGGACTGGGTAGGAGACTAATAGTTGCACAGTTGAAAGCATGGCAGTTTATTGGTATTGATGACTTGAGGCATTAACTTCACCAGAGTTATGCAGTCTTTTATATGTACATATGTGTGTGTGTGTGTGTGTGTGTGTGTGCACATCTTGATTTCTGATTTGTTTACAAAATGAAACCATGTGCCAGAATCTGGCTTAACCTACTCCATGTGAAGCCTCTAGGAAACATCTAACTCCCTAAGCCTTCTTTTTACTGACTGTGACCAATTTTTACAATACCTAAGAAGATTTGAAACTACCTCGGCCCCCTGCTGTTGGCACCACCGAAAATTGCGTAGATTTATGGATCCATTACGTTATTGTGCAGTCTGCCATGAGAGCTGATGAGTGTAATGTTGTTTATTAGTGTACAACCTGATTCTCTTCACTTTTGAGGTGGTTTTGTGCCTAAGATTTAGGTTTAAGGAAAAAAGTTTTCTTTGAGAATGGAGCTCACTGTTCTGATTTTGCAGAAGTACGAGCTAGATCTGTTGTGGCAGCATTTGGTAGGCGAGGCCTAGGCACATCTCCTACATAGGCTGGGGCAGTTGGCATTTTTCTTTCTTTTTTGTTTTTGGTATTAAGTACAGTGTGTACAGGGTCTCACTACATGGATCGGACTTGTAGTGATCCCCCTGTTTTCAGCCTCGCAAGCACTGGGATTACAGGTGCATGCCTCCATGTCCAGTCTTAGTCACAGTCTCAGGGTGTCCCAGGGGCAGGGCCAGCATGGCACACCAGGGATTGAACCCTGGTCCCTGCGTCTCCCTAAGCAGGTGCTTTAAGAGCTATCTGGCCTCCCTGGGCAGTTGGCCTTTGA